AATTTGTTCAATAATCTCAATATGAAATGAGTGGACAAATCCTTTTCAAGCTATATTGATCTAAAGAGGCCTATCTTATCCGGAATGCAAAAAAAAGGAAGAGAGTGTTGAAAATGTAGCTGCTTTCGGCTTTGTTACTTTAATCCTACTTTTGTGAGTGATTGAGGGAAGATTCATAACATATTAGAGGGATCGACCAGGGAGGAAGCACCACATGATTGCTTCATTATGCTCCACAATTCTTATAATTTATCATATATATATCTACCTCTATTTTCGCAAAAAATATTCCCTGCCGCCATTGATTGTATGAAAGGAAAATTAGAAATCAGTACAAATTTTTAAAAATAATTACAGAAAAGTGATTAATTTTATAAAAATTAATAATTATAATTATAATTTTTTTTCATAAATGAGTTATATTTTTTTTAAAAATATCAGAGTGATAATTTCCCCTTGTATCAATCAACAGCTAAAATGTCGTATGCAAAACAATTATAAATAATCAAAAGTATCAAAAATAATAATTAATATATCAATTAAGACATTAAATATACATGCAAAATTCATCACTTAACGTGGAACTAATAATAGCGGACTATATAAGAGTTGAAGGGTGCCTCAATTCCAAAAATTTTAAAAATATATTTTTTTAATTTCAATTATCAGTGTACCAAACTAACTCAATTTTTTTCTAGGCATGTATCTTGGTCCCCTCTAAATAAAATTTTTGGTTCCGCCCATGCCCATGTGTGGAACCCATCTGACATTATGTCCAATAAATAATGTTTATTGATATACTAATTAGTATTTTTAATATTATTAAAAAAATAATTTTAACTACTTTTGTTATTATTTTTCATGTCTATCTAGTCGTAATGTACCTATTAAAGTTGCTAAGCCTATCGGCTAATATATCGCTTATGTGAAGTTTAGTGTCATGAAATTGAGATTGTTACTAACATGATTGTTGATAGTACTTCACTTCAACTCCTCTATGAGGCCTTAATTGTTGTTGAATTGAATATGTATTTTGTGACATGTTAAATATTTATTTATTTTGTCGTTTTTATAATATTTCTAAAGTATTTCATGGTAACTATTTTGATAATTAAGGAAAAAAAAATAAACTTATTAGCTTATTGGATTATTTAAATTATATCACTTTTTTTATGTTTTTGTACGTTTTTTCAAAAGACGCTAATTTTTTTTTAAAAATTAACATTTTTCTTACTTTTCAAAAATAGACCTAAAAAACACAACACAACTACTACAATATAATAAACTAAATAATGAATCATTTAGTACACTTGTTTTTTTTTACCAATGTGAGTGTCACTTTTTTTTTAGAGGGGACAAATATTACTGTCAATGATGAGATTAAAATAAGGGGTCATATGGGATGATCTAAATAAGTATATATTTTGGTTTTTTATGAAATAAGGGGTTGGTTTGAAGTGATATGGTAGAGATATGATGTAATTTAAATAAGATGATGTGACTTATAATGACTTTTTAACTTTTTTGTGTTATGCCAAACTTAGGTCAAGTTTGACAACTCAAAAATAATCCATCTTTTTATTTTTTTTTATTACATCATCTCTTTATTTTTTTACATAATTTTTTATAAAAAAATAAAAAATACACTCCTTCCAAACAACCTCGTAGTCTAAATAGACTTATGAAGTGTTCCTTTTCCATAAGCAACAAACTTGTTGAATATTTATTTAATAGAATGTATATGGATAGTTTTTTGGCACCTGTATCACGTGCCACGTCTGCAACAGTAGCAGCTGCCGAGTCCGCCTGCAGCCCATCGCTGTCACGGTCCAACAATTTTACCCGATAAAAGCCGCATTGTTGGGTGCCGCGTCCAAAAGTGGGGTAAAAACTTTAATATAACATTATTACCACTCACAACAAAAATTAAGAAAATTATATATGAAATAGTAAAGAAAAATATTCACTTTTCTTGTTTCTACATTTAAAAAAATATTTTTTAAAAAAATTTATTTTTTTATTTTTTTGTATTTTTTTATTTTTACTAAATTTTTTTAATATTTTAAGTAATTTTTTTACTTTTTAGACACACTTAACATAAATACACTTAAAAAGTAAAAAAATTGTAATTTTTTTTTTAAAAAAATTCACTAAATACCAAAAATATAAAAAAATACAAGAATTCAGTACATTTTTTTTTGTATTTTTTTGTATTTATTAATTTTTAAAAATATTTTTTCACAATTTTTTTACTTTTTAGATACATCTAAGTAAGGTGCATCTAAAAAAGTAAAAAAAATATTTAAAATTTAAAAAATATTCACTAAAAACAAAAAAAATACGAAAACCAAAAAAGTCAGTTTTCAAAAAACTTAATCCAGAAAACTCAAATCAAACACACTGATTAACTTTTTGACTTTTAAGAAAAAATATGTATTAAAAAATTATATAAATTAGTGTGTAGGAGAAGATAAAAACTGTGAGTTATATGGCCGTACTGTCCGCACAGGCTGAATTGATGCTAAGAAATGGTTGCTTACTTTTCGGGCATTGCAATGGACGGTGCTGTTCGGCCCATGGGAGCCATCATGGGTCCCGTTTTAATAATCTGAACCGTTCAATGTGTAGAACTTGTCGAGTACTATATGCTTGTAAAAAATCACGTTGATCAGTTATTGATAGCTATCTGATCAAATTAGTTTTTTTTCAACCGTTAACCACAACACCATCTATTTTTTTTATACAAACTGATTTGATCATATAGTTAGAGATATTATATCAATGTATTTTTTAAAAACTTATAGTACTCGACGAGTTCTACACATTAAATGGTTCAGATTATTAAAACGGGACCCGTGATGAGCCCCCACAGGCCGAACAACATTGTGTTAAAATTGCACCCCGACTTTGCAATTTTTCTAAAAAAACACAGAAACAGAATCTGAACCAAGTTGCAATTTTGTGTGTAAAATTTATTTATTTTATTATTTTTTGTGAATAGTGATAATTTTTTAACATTTTTTTTTTTTGTAACTTTTTTACTTTTTGGTTTTTTTTGGATATCCCAAATTAGGCCTAAATATTTTATATAGGTATGAGATTCACACTATGTGAGTTTATGTAGATTTCACACCCATATAAGACATTTGATAGAATATTTAATAAAATATTTGAAATCTCTATCATTAGTCAATAGTAAATAACAAATGTTAAAAATTTATTAAAAGTATACTTGTATAAATATTATTTGATGCTCAAATAATTTCTTTTATTTTTAGTTATTCGGTAATAAATGTCACTATTAAGTGTGTTTAAAAGATCATTTTGACTTCTTGCAAAAAGTAAACAAAAAGAGAACCTTAATCCTTTAAATCATTTGAATTAATTTAAATAGTATGATTTCATTCAGAATTTTTAAGGTATGGTTTGATTTTGGGTCTAATAATCAAGAATGGTTAATTATGGTTTGATTTACTAATTAAGTCTTAAAAAATTGAATCGAATCGAATCAAATCAAATTAGATTTTTTTTGCTTTTTATTAATTTTGATATGACTATCACATACATATGACTCGAGATAAGAAGCAGATTATATATATGGGTATTTCATTCATTTTATTTAAAATATATATTTTCTCTATATAAAAAATATGTTTATGCATTACATTTTTTATTAATTATATGATTTTTACTTGTTATATTATTAAAAAATTATAATTTTACAGTAATTACTATATAATATGATGATTTGTTACGTCTTTAATGAAATTTAATTTGGATAATATTTTAAAATATATTTGTAGAATCAGTAAAATCAATATTTATTTAGATGGATACTCCATGTAAAGTAATAAATATTTTAGCAAAGAATCATGGAATCAAATTACCATATCATTTTCGTGATTTGGTTTAAGTCTGGTTCCAAAGATTTCACATTTAAATTTTATTTTCAAAATCTTAAACCATTTCATCTTTGATTCATCTTATAACCAAATCATCTTGATATATGAACATTTATGTATGACAATTTATTATTAGGTGATTTTGCATATCGATAATGGCATTTTTTTTCTTCTAAAAGGGGTGAGCTAAATAAGTAATTTTTTTATTGACTTTTTAAAAAAATTATGCCAAGTTTTTTATTTTTCTTTTCTGTCTTGTGTAATAAATTTAAAAAGTATCAAAAAATTGACAAATTCTAAAAAATAATTTAAAAAGCCAAAATAAGTTTCAAAAAAAAAAAAAAAATACCCACCATAATTAACTTATTTTTGTCATTTCCAAACTTAAAAAAAAAATTAATTTTGAAATCTAAAACTCCTTAAAAAAATATGAAAATAATTAACTAGGTCTCGTTTGAGAATATATTATTTTAATAATTTTTTAATTTTTTTAAAAAAAATATACAAAAAAAATAAATAAAAAGAATGATAAGATAATTTATAATAATTTTTTAACTAAAATAAAAAATTAGCAAAGGAGAACTAAAAATCAAAATATCATCAAATAAGTAAACCCGAACATCTATTCAGAGCAACATTTACATGATGAGATGATGTGTCGGTTTGAGAGGGCCCACATGCATGCCCCATATCAACAATGATTCATCCCACTAAAAATATCACCACTAATAGTACTAATGCATTAAAAAAGTAAAAATAAAAATAAAAAAATACAACTCCAAGACTAAAACATCACATCATTAATGGCGGAACCCACTGCCACCTAATTAGTGGGAGCACTAATTAGTGCTCTCAAGCATTTTTCTGCCCCATATTTGAACCAATGACGTGAAAGAGGCCCACCATGTCCCCTCCCCGCCAAACACAACTTGACAACGGACACTTACAAAATTGTCCACGACCCCCAGTCAACTTTGCCTCCTTTTTGTCTCACGCCACTTGGCCCCCACCAGCCACGGTATCACTTCATTCATTCATGCAGAAAACATTGTTTTCTCTCTCCTATATAAAGTCAATTCCCCTTCTTCACACCACCACCACCTCTCCTCCATCTTCTTCTCTAAGTCTCTCTCTCTCTCTCTCTCTCAAACACACACTACAGAGCTCTCCTCTCTCTCTCTCTCTCTCTCTCTCTCTATACAATGGCGGTTGATTCTGTTTTGTCATCTCCTCTAGGACCTCCGGCTTGCGAGAAGGACGCGAAGGCGCTTCGATTCATCGAAGAGATGACGAGAAATGCCGACTCCGTTCAAGAGAACGTGTTGTCCGAAATACTGTCTCGGAACGCCCAAACGGAATACCTCCGGCGATTCAAGCTCTCCGGAGCAACCGATCGAGACGCTTTCAAATCCAAAATTCCGGTGATTACTTACGAAGATCTTCAACCTGAGATTCAGCGAATTGCCAATGGTGATCGTTCCCCGATCTTGTCTGCTCATCCGATCTCCGAGTTTCTCACTAGGTAATTAGTTGATTATTTTTTTCATATATATATTTTTTGGTTATGAAATCGTTGAAAATTGAACTCGGATTATTTTTTAGCTTGTGATTTTGATAATTTTGTACAGCTCTGGTACGTCGGCTGGTGAAAGAAAACTCATGCCGACGATTCGTGAAGAGCTGGATCGTCGTCAGTTGCTATACAGTCTTCTTATGCCTGTCATGAACTTGTAAGTAAATATATTCATGTTTTTTTTTTGTCATTTTGTTCATTCAAATTTAAGTTTTATCAATTTACTTCACTAAAGTTTTTTTGATTCTAATCAAACCAGTGCAATTTTAAAATAACGTTTAAATTATTAATGAAATAGATATATAATTTCTAAAGTATGTGCTCCAAGTTCTCTTTGTTTAAAAAATTTAATTGTCAATTTCAATTATAACCTCTCTATATATTTTATATTTTTTCATTAATTTTATGGATAAAAACTAATAAATTAAAATAACAATGATTCATACTACTAAAAAAAGCCACTAATATCACTAATACATTAGCAATACCAAAAAAAAAAACAAAAAAAAAACAAGGCATACGCAGTGGGTGGCCCACTGCCACATCATTAATGGTACTATTAGAACACCACCTTTAGTGTTCTCAATCATTTTTCAAATTAAAACTTTAGAGAACAAATTGATTTAAAATGTATATTTTTTAGATTGAAGTGTATTTTATAGTTATTATGTTAATAATTTAGACAATTTGTTTGAATTAGCTAAATTAACTCATATTTTAAAAAAATCAAAATTTAAACTCCAATGATAAAAAAACAAAATTTAAATTTGAAAACTAAAGTAAAAGGGAACATATAAGAGTTTTGAGTTAATTTTGTTTGGTTGTACAATTTAATTTTTTTTCTTATAATTTTCTGTTTAAATTTTAACAGATATGTGCCGGGTTTGGACAAAGGCAAAGGACTTTACTTCTTGTTTGTGAAGTCCGAAACAGAGACTCCGGGTGGGCTTTTGGCCCGGCCAGTTCTTACCAGTTACTACAAGAGTGAACACTTCAAGACCCGGCCCTACGACCCATACAACGTTTACACAAGTCCAAACGAAGCCATACTCTGCCCCGACTCATTCCAAAGTATGTACACCCAAATGCTCTGCGGCCTATTAGAGCACAAACAAGTGCTCCGAGTCGGAGCCATCTTCGCCTCCGGACTAATCCGGGCCATCCGGTTCCTCCAACTCAATTGGGCACAACTCACCCATGATATCCACACCGGAACTCTCAACCCGAAAATCACCGATCCATCAGTTCGGGAGTGCATTACCCAAAAGATAAAACCCGACCCGGTACTTGCGCAGATTTCATTGCAGCAGAGTGTTCAAAGGACAATTGGGAAGGAATTATTACTAGAATTTGGCCCAACACAAAGTACTTGGATGTGATTGTAACGGGTGCGATGGCCCAATACATTCCGACCCTGGACTACTACAGTGGCAGGTTGCCCCTAGCTTGCACCATGTACGCTTCGTCGGAGTGTTATTTTGGACTCAATCTCAACCCGATGTCAAAACCCTCTGAAGTCTCATATACCCTCATGCCAAACATGGCCTACTTCGAGTTCCTCCCTCACGAACCCAACTCAGCCGAGTCAACCCGCTACTCGCCACCCAAACTCGTTGACCTCGCTGACGTGGAAGTGGGAAAGGAATACGAACTCCTGGTCACCACCTACGCCGGACTCTGCCGATACCGAGTCGGCGACATCCTCCGAGTTACCGGGTTCCACAACTCAGCTCCGCAATTCCACTTTGTACGGAGAAAAAACGTGATACTCAGCATCGACTCGGACAAGACCGACGAGTCCGAGTTACAGAAAGCGGTCGAGAACGCTTCGCAACTCTTGAAAGAGTTCAACACGAGCGTTGTGGAGTACACGAGTTACGCCGATACGAAGACGATTCCGGGTCACTACGTGATTTACTGGGAACTGTTAGCGAAGGATTCGGGTAACTCGCCGAGTGAAGACGTGTTGGCTCAGTGTTGTTTGGCGATGGAGGAATCGCTTAACTCGGTATACCGACAAGGCCGAGTCGCGGACAACTCGATTGGAGCTTTGGAGATCAGGGTAGTGAAGAGTGGGACCTTTGAGGAGCTAATGGATTATGCGATATCGAGAGGAGCGTCCATTAATCAGTATAAGGTGCCGAGGTGTGTTAGCTTCACACCCATCATGGAGCTTTTGGATTCGAGAGTGGTGACGGCGCATTTTAGCCCGTCTTTGCCTCATTGGACTCCTGAACGCCGTCGGTGAAGTGAGAAGAAGATTCCTAAGATTTTAATTACTTTCTTGTATGTTTTTTTTTTTTTTTTTTTTTTTTTTCTTGTATGTTTTTTTTTTTTTTTTTTGATTTTTTTTGATTTTTTTTGATAGGTTGTTTTTGTGATTAGATCTTTAATTTGTGTTGGAATTAGTCAATCTGTATTAAAAAAGAAATGTAACATTTCAGTCTTAAAAGTATTTAACTTTTTTCAGTTTTATGTGTTCCATGATTTGTTAATGACATATGCTAATCAATGTGATTTGACCTAATAATATTGTGACAGATATACAAAGTCAAAAAACACAAAAAAAGGAAAATTTTAAACAAGAAAGACTGATATTTGGGACCTTTTTTTTTTCTTCTTCATTTCAAGTGTTAAATCAATAACGACTTCAAAATGCAAATTATAACTTTAAGCGTTGCACGAGGAGGTTTTATCCAAGAATGTTTGACTAGGTTAATGTATAGGCAGTTTTTTTTGTTTTTGTTTTTTTAGATTCAAATATCCATGGGCAGGCTTGTTTATTGATCCAAGGTTTTTGTTCAATTCAACAATCAATTTCTTTAATAATTACTTTCTTAAGGTTATGATATTATGAGCTAGATTCAGGTCATTTTAATAATTTTTTAATTTGTTACGAAAAGATATGTAAAAAAATAGAGAAAGTGATGTAATAATTTATAATGATTTTTTGACTTTTTAGCTAAAATATATAATTTATAAACGAGACCATAGAATACATAACAATGCATATATATATATATATATAATTTAAGCTTGGCTCAATTTGACATTGGACCTAATCTAATCATTTCAAACTTTGTCGTACTTCTAAATTTTAGATAGCATTTGATTTATTTTTCAAAACTCAATTCTGTTTTTAAATCATGATTTGGATGAAATATATTAACCAAATTTATTTTTAAGGGTAAGTTACACATACACTCTATGAAATTTGATTAAAATACGAATTACTTCTTATAGTTTGGAAAATTATAAATACCTTTCTGTTAGAATTTTTTATTTGACAGAATTAATTGAAAAAATAAAATTTTTAACAGTTTTTCTATACAATAATAAAATTATCTGAATTATTAATTGAAATAAAATTTTAATGTCATTAAAAATTGTTAATTAACTTGATGATTTATTAATAAAAGTGCTTATTTGTTATGAAATTACTTAGGGGGCATAATGTAATTTTTAAAACTACAGGGAAAAATTTGTAATTGAAGTAAATCTCAAGGGATGTGTTTGTAATTTATCCTATTTTAATGTACAATTCAAAATTATTTTCAAAATTCTTCTCTTCTCTTTTTTTAATTATTTATTATTATTATTATTCAATCAATCAATTATTTTTTCTCTTTTATCTCTCCTTTCTCATCTCACATTCTATACATTAATCAATAAAAAAAAAACAAAAATAGAAAAATCATCTCAAAATAATTTTTAAAACTCATAACTAAACAAATTTTCTGTTTTCAAATTATGATTTAAAAACTCAAAACTCAAAACACAACTCCATACTCAAATCATAATTTTAAAATTAAACCAAATGGCCCCTTAAACTTGTCCACGTAACTCAACATATATGGGCTATTATTATCATTATTATTTGGATATTGAAAATTTATTAAATTAATTGGACCCTTTTAATAATTATTTGAATTTAGTTCATTAACAAAATCTAACAAATTTAACAAACCTTTTGAGATATATTTGGCCCGGTAGCTTGAGGTTAGACCTGACAAATGGCCGAAATTTAAACGGGTCAAAAAATGTGTGTTTGGTTTGGTTTTAAGAGATAATTTTTTAAAAAAATTTTTGGAGAGAGAATTTAGAAATTTTTTTGATTTGTTTAGTTGTATATTTGGAAAATAGTTTTGGAGTATGGGAGTTTGGAATGCTTTGATATTTTGTTATAGTTGAGTAGATATGTGTGAGAGAAAAAATAATTGAGAAAGAGAGAGAAGAGAGAAAAAGTGATTAATTGATATATAGGAGAGAGAAGGCGATTTTGAAATTTTTTTTCCAAAATCACTCAACTAAACAAAATTTTGAAATTTTTTTTTCTAAAATTACTCTCTCAAAATCAAACCAAACAAGGCTGTTTTAAAAGAGTATTAACTTGAAATCATCCATTTGGCAAATGGATCGGGTATTCTGAGTCATTCACAAACTATACTGGATCAAGAAGACTCAATTCAAATATTTAAGCCCATTTAGAATTAACAAGTGTCTTTTGGTAACCCGATTACAACTCATTTACATAAAATGACAGCCAAAACTCATTTATTACGGGTAGATCATGGATTCGGGTTTAAATTGCCACTTTTACTTGAGCAATACCTGTCTTATTCATTCAGGGTGACAAGCTTTGTGTTTGCCTGAGATCTTACCTCTGTTTTGTTTTGAATTAATCCAAGCTTGAAAAATTATTTGCTAATTAAGGTAGGTTTTAATGTGATTTATGATTTTTAATAATGTTACGATAATTATATATATATTTATTTATTTTAGAGGAAATTGTATTTAGTGGAGAAATAATTATATTTTCATGATGATACAAGTGTCGTATATGCATGGTATAAGTCAATTCCTATGCTTCATGCAAGTATTTCCTATTTATCATAAGGAGTTTTCTTAAGTGTGCAAGTGCACACCATGTGCCACTTACACAAAAAGTGTAAGTGTAAGGTGTAAGTATAAGTATAAGGTGTAAGTGTAAGGTGTAAGTGTAAAGTGTAAGGTGTAAGTGGGTTGCACATGGTGTGCAACCTCAAAAAATGTGTAAGTGTAAGGTTTAATTTTTTACAAAAGGTGTAAGTGTAAGGTGTAAGTGTAAGGTATAAGGTGTAAGGTGTAAGTTGCACACCATAACCAAACCCTTATCATAATTGCACCGAAAAATATTTTTATTTGTAGTGCAATTATTTTGTGATTGTTCCGTTTATTTATAATTCCCCCTCTCCCTTTTTTAATTGTGTTTATGATTTTATATTGTTAACAATGATACTCTTTAATGTCATTAAAAATATTTATGATTTTTGAGGACAAAAATTGAAAAAATCTAGAAATCCGCTAGATATTGATTTGTGATTATGTATCAATTTAAAGCAAGGCGGACATTCAACTTTGAATGCAATTTTGCATTTTGCTTCAGGGCGCTGCCCCTCGACCCCGCCTAGGCGCTGCCCCGGACCCACCAAGGGGTGCTGCCCCCTGAACCCCCGTGAACTGACCGGGCAGCTCGATCCTCGTTATAATCAGCGAAGTGGCAATCTTGAAAGTATTAACATCACAAACTTCTTTGCAAGGCATAATTCGGGTTAGATTCGTATCTAAAACTCATATCCTCACTGAAATACAAGAACGAATAAAATTATAAGTGAAAGGAATTTTGTCAAACGAAATTGCCAAGAATAAAAACTTAACAATCTCCCCCTTTGGCAATGCCGTGATAAAACACACCTAACAAATAAAATCTAAACACCTCAACCCATTACAGCCAACAAAAACAAACTTCTTTTTGACGGTCAAGATCTACAAAACAACTATTAATACCACAATCTTAAAAACAACTATTAGTCCCACAAGAGTATATGAAAAAAATAATAAACATATGACAAGATTATCTTGAAGTATTAGATGGAAAACATGAATAGATGCAACTTGGAGATTTTAAGAACATGTAGCATGAAAACCTGAAAATTAAGACACATGCACCCCACACATGGCATGAATACATGAAATCCTAAGACACATGCACCGGACAACATTACTCCCCTTCACTAAAAATAATGAACAAGAAGAAAAACAACAAAAATAATATGGTAAAGCAAGCAAGAAATCTCAGATTTGTACCTTAAAACACACAAGATTATCCAAGAAGTACAATTACTAGTAAACACAATGTGCATAGTTTGTAGAAGATTCCTCATGAAAGAAAGTGATGCCACATGTGAAAAGCATAGATCCCATGATAAAAGTGTGTGTGTGACTCTTGGAATTTGACAAATATGAGATTCAAATCCTAATAGTGATCTGATAGTTGGACCTCTGACAAGAGAATCTAAACACAACTAAGGAAAGCCAAATCACTAGGAATTAAGGGGTATTTGGTGAGTAAAGGCGGACCTCCCCCTCAATCAATGAATCCTTTTTTTTTTCACATATTTTTCTTTTCTTTCTTTTGCACATTTTTTCCTTTTTCTTTTCCTTTTTCTTTTCTTATTCTTATTCTTTTGCACACTTATTGGCGGCTGACACGCTCAAGAGTATGGAAACCGAACCAGAGAAGCATGGATATAATAAGGATGGCCTGGTTGGTGACTCTGAGGTAGCATTTTCCTTATGCCTAGACTACAAAGAACAGAGGGGAAAGCCATGGAGATGCAAAAAGATGGAAGATGGTTAAGAGACTCAACATCACCCATGATATGCTAGTATAGGTCAATTCCTCTAGAAAAGCAAAAGATACAATGCCAGAAATCCATAGGAAAAAAAAATCACTAAGGCAGAAGACTCCGATATTTGCTAATCCAAGAGTGTGTACAGAATGAGACATACTAATCAAAGAACACACACTCCAAAATGAGTAATGACCACAGAAAGCACACACATATTAACATGTAATGGATATTCTTATCAATTCCAATATGCACCAAGGACATCTCAAAAAATTCAAGCTTGCAAAACCATACTAAGAAAATCTTTTTGGTTTTTTTTTTTTTTTTTTTTTTTAACAATAACGCAAGACAAAAAAAGAACAAGCACACATTTTTTTTCTAAACAAAGTAAGACAGAAAACAAACATGCACACATTAAATGACTCAAACAGAAAAAAAACACATAGAAACCTAAAAACTAAAACGAATAAACAAATTAACACAAGCCAAGTTTTCTCACCCAAACCGCTTTAGTATGAAAAAAATTGTGAGAATTGCGGTTCTTAGGTGGTGTCTTGACGTTGTGGTTCCCTTTCCCTTCAATAGGAACCTGTTTAGACTTGGTGTCCAACTTCTTATACCTAGGTCTAGACAAACAAAACCTCTGTTCACGTTTAGTCTCAAGCAAATCAAAATAACGAGGTCTAATATGACCCTTAACCTCATTACTACCAATGAAGTGTCTCTTACACCATGAGATGTTAGAATTTCTTCCATCTTTATGAGACACTCTCCTATGCAACTTATAACAATAAGGGC